TTCTAAACTTAAAGAAACACTAGAAATAATTCTTACAACCCAAATATCTCTCAAAACTGGACTGAAACACAAGGTTCCTTAAACCACTCTAAAACATGTTTTTGCCTAAGACATCCAAACCTTGCAAATGAGGGTTCGACTTAAAGCTTAGGAAGTGTAGATTAAAAATCTTACCTTGGAAATTCTGATTCAAGCTTGTAAAACGAAAAAGCTTGGACATTTAACTTGCCTTGGAGAGGAAGAAGATGAAGAAGAGGAGAGGATGAAGACAACAAAGGGATGAAAAAAAGGAGCTTGGTGCAGACGTGATATCAACCCAAATAAATGAGATTCACCCTTTATTTCAAAAAATAGGTTAATTACTTCCCTAGTCCTCCTTTATTTGATGCATGATTAAAATGATCCCTTTTAAGATTGTTGGGCTCATCCTAAGCCCAAATCAAATCTACTTGGGTCCAAAGCTTCATATACTAGAGGAAAATTATTTTAAAGCCCATTCGTATAAACTCGAAACTCCTAACCCGTAATTTGGGGAATCACAATTTTTGTGTAGGGAAATGACTTATGGAAAGTGTACTCTGGAATAGTGGGCATGAAATACTGACGTGGCAGTAAGTTAGTAGCTTCTAGAAGGTCAAGTTAGCAGCGTATAATCAACAATTATAGAAGATTGATGGACAACTCAAGCATTTTAAATTCAAGTTTATGAATGATCTTTTTAGGATTTTAAATTTAAATAATTATCTTTTGTATTTTCAACATATTTTTAGGGTTTTTAGAATGCTATAAATACTCTATTGGGGTAAGCCTAATTCATTCATCATTCAATTGATCGAATTATCAAATCGACTCTTCTTTCTTTTTTATTTTTTATCTTTTATAAATTTCTCTTTTAGTTTTTACTTTGTTTTCTTTTAAAGTTTTATTTTGAAAAAAGGGCAAGTATGACTTTTTTCATGCTTAGCTAATTTTCTTTTAAGCCAAGGGCTAAAGCAATGACTCAATTTCAACGTGAGAATTGAAAAGTACTTGAATAACTTCGGAAATCTCTCTCAATTTCTTGCGTTTATTTTCAAAAATCAAAATGATTTCTAAACCAAAGATTGACGTTGGTAAGGATGTTATTGCGATTAAACGTGTGGGATAAAGGATCAGCTTATTGAATACGCATTCGACTTCCTGGGGAACACACTTAGTAAATTGATTGCTAAAATGGAATTGAGATCGGAATATGTTATTATTGAAACAACATAATCTAATTTGATCTTTTACAAACTTAAATGGTTATTGGTATACAACAATTGATGTTGATTAGATTAATTTCCAAAGTCGGAATCAAAGGTTTCACATGGGTATTCGGTATACAAAGCATAGTCACAAGGATTGATAGTTGTAGACAAGTAACCGACGTGAATCCTAAAGTAGAAAACCACTTTCGATGATATGAGGAAACTAAGTCAGAGCGATAGCCCAAGGCTGAATTTGCTATATTGAATTTATTTCCTTTAAATATTCCTCTTAATCTTATTTACTTTTAAATCTTCCTACTTTCTTGTTTTTATTTTATTTACTCTCTTCATCAACAAACCCCCATTATCACTAAAAAATTACTCAATCCACTTCCTAACTCAGAGATTCAATCAAGCATAAATTAGGGAGTTTCATTAGTCTCTGTGTGATCGACATTTACTTCTCTTTTACTACGTTTAATTTCCTTTAAATATTATCTGAGAAGAAATAAATTATTTTGATGCGAAAAACGACGTGTGTCAAATTGGCATCTTTGCAAGGACTAACACCGAGTTACTGATTTATTTCTTTTGTTTTTAATTTATGACCAATAATAACCCGAAAGAATTAGTAGATTTTAACCCAAAGATCGAAGCACAAGCCCGAGGAATCCACACACAAATGCTTCAAGAGAAAAGAAAAAGATAAAAAGAATAAGGGAAGAGTTCAGAAACATATCTAGATCTAGAGATAAATTCTGAAGTTGATGTATATACCGCGATAAATTACGAAGATCAGATCTTGATGGAAGAAGAACAAATAATTCGGGAGCTAACAGTAGCTCCTACCACTCCACGCCATTATGCATAGCCTTTCCTCAAGGCAAAACTATGTTCTAATTGAAGACAAGACTTATTCATCTTCTTCTCACTTTTCGCGGTCTTCCCAATGAAAATCTGCACAAACACTTGACGGAATTCCAAATGGTTTGCTCTAGAATGAAACCACAGGGAGTTACTAAAGATCAAATAAAACTCAGAGCTTTCCCTTTTTACTTGGCCAATTCGACTAAGGAATGACTATTTTACTTACCTCCAAATTCAGTTAATTCATGGGTTGAAACAAGTCAAATTTTTCTTGACATGTACTTCCCAGTAGCCAAAGCAAGTAAGTTATGAAGGAGCATCCTCTTAATCCGACAAAAGCATGAAGAAAATCTTTATGACTACTAGGAGTGCTTCAAGAAGTTTTGCGCAAGTTTTCCACAACACGGATTAACCGAGAAAGTGCTTCTTCAATATTTTTACGAATGTCTTCTCCCATGAAAATAAATATGATCGATGCTGCTATCAGAGGAGCTCTTATAAAAATGACTCCAACAACAGCGAGGGAATTAATTTTGACAATGGCAGCTAATGCGCAACAGTTTTTAAGTGAACCCAGCCGAAAAAATTATTAGATTTTAACCCAGAGATCGAAGCATAAGCCCAAGGAATCCGCACACAAATGCTTCAAGAGAAAAGAAAAAGACAAGAAGAACAAGGGCAGAGTTCAGAAACATATCTAGATCTATAGATAAATTCTGAAGTTGATGTATATATCGAGATAAATTATGAAGATCAGATCTTGATGGTAGAAGAACAAATAATCTGGGAGCTAGCAGTAGCTCCTTCCACTCCACGCCATTATGCATAGCCTTTTCTCAAGGCAAAACTCTGTTCTAATTGAAGACAAGACTTATTCATCTTCTTCTCACTTTTCGCGGTCTTCCCAATGAAAATCTGTACAAACACTTGACGGAATTCCAAATGGTTTGCTCTAGCATGAAACCACAGGGAGTTACTAAAGATCAAATAAAACTCAAAGTTTTCCCTTTTTAGTTGGCCAATTCGACTAAGGAATGACTATTTTACTTACCTCCAAATTCAGTTAATTCATGGGCTGACACAAGTCAAATTTTTCTTAACATGTACTTCCTAGTAGCCAAAGTAAGTAAGTTATGAAGGAGTATCCTTTTAATCCGACAAAAGCACGAAGAAAATCTTAATGACTAATGGGAGCGCTTCAAGAAGTTTTGCGCAAGTTTTCCAAAACATGGATTAATCGAGAAAATGTTTCTTCAATATTTTTACGAATGCCTTCTTCCATGAAAATAAATATGATCGATGTTGCTATTAGAGGAGCTCTTATAAACATGACTCCAACAACAGCGAGGGAATTAATTTCAACAATAGCAGCTAATGCGCAACAGTTTTTAAGTGAACCCAGCTGACAAGTTCATAAGATAAATACCTTTTCCATTGAAAATAAATTAGATAAATTAACTAAAGTAGATAATTCACTTGTTGTAAGGAAATCTGAAGTAATAAGAGCTTGTGGGATATGCACGATGTCGGATCATCTGACAGACTGCTGCCCAATGTTGCAAGAAGGAGGTAAATCAGAAGTCAACTCTATAGGGAACTTTTTAAGACCTCCCAAAAAATTGCACAATCTGTATGGAAACACATACAACTCGAGATGGAGAGACCATCCTAATTTCAGTTATGTGTAGAACCCAAAGCTGACATTTCAACCAAGGCCACCTCCACAACAACAAACACAAAAGACATCATTAGAAGCGATGATGGACAAGTTGGCGATTTCCCAAGAGAAACTGGTTGCGTCTCAGGAAAAACTGGTTACTTTCCAAGAGAAATTTCAAAGCCGAACTAAAACATATTTTCATGAGTTAGATAAGCAAGTGAGCCAACTGGCTCAAATCGTGGGGAGATTAGAGTCGCGGGGTAGACTACCTTCTCAAACGGATTTAAATTCGAGAGAGAATGTTAGTGTTATCACTGTAACATCCTCCATACCGGGTTAGGATTAAATTGTGAAATTTTAAAATTTAGTGATCAAAGTTGATAAATTGAAAGTTGAAGGAATTGATTGAAATATTTTGTATAGGATCAATTAGCAAAGCATGGGGAACTAAAGGGGAAAATGAGTCTTTTGACAAGGAAAATAATTAAATGTTTCTTAAGGATATTTAATAAACCATGTGGAAAGCTAATGAGAGAAACAAGGTTCTGGATATTTCTTTCTTCTTCTTTCTTCTTCTCTCTGTCGTGAAGACAAAGCTAAAGGTAAGTTTTCTTATTGATCAAATTCTTGATGAATTTAAGGTTTCTTATTGATCCTTAGATAATAACTAAGCTTAAGGAAAGCTTAGATTATCTTAAAACCATAAGATGAGAAGTATATGAAGAATCAAAAAAAGGAAGTAAAAAAGTGAAATCTTGGATTAGAGCTCATAATAAGAATTAGAAGTGGGATTTGACTTGTCATAAAGCTAACTAAGAAGTATGAAATGTTAGAATTCAAATTAGAACATGTTGGAATTTGGGTTAGATTCTTAAACTTTACATGGAGAATTGGATTTCTAAGTTTTAAAAGTATGGAATGGATAATAATTAGTTTAAGTAAGAGTATGCAAGTTAAGGATATAAAAAGAGGGGAAATATAAAGTGTTAAGTAGACTAAGAAGAGATTTTCGTGCTAAAATGACAATTCTGGGTAATGTGCATCGATGCACAATTATTGTGCACCGATGCATCAAGGATAAATCCCATAAATTGTTCAAAGTGTACCGATGCACAAGAAGTGCATCGATGTACTCTTTTAAAATACAAACATCGAATGCCATCGATGCATAAGGAGTGCATCGATGCACCCTATTAAATACAAACATCGAATAGGATTTATGCATCGATGCATGGTGTAGTGCATCGATGCATACCTCCATTAAAAGATAAAAATGGCTTTTCTTTTAGCCTAAGAAATGATAGTTTAGAATATACTAATTAGTATACTGATAAGTATCAATGAATTACTATGTAGATATCGAGCCTAAACGAGTTCTGGAACAATCGACAAATAGTATTGATCGAGGGAAAGACAAAGAAATCTAGGTGAGTGCATATGCATAGCATGAATATGTATTCTATTCAGTTCTAGACTTGTGATAAGTCTAGATTCAATATTTTGATACATGATCGCATTTCATATTATGATACATGACATGAATTCATATCATATGCATTATGTGACATGAATATGTAAGAAAAAGTTATATGAGTTATGTGATAAAGGTATGGGAATGATATGTCTATGTGATAAAGGTATGAAAATAATATGTCTACGTGATACAAATTATGTGAATTGTGAAAGCCCATGTTATGTAGATGAGAACTATAGGTATAGTTGGCATGCCAAGGGTAGAGGGTCTATGCGGTCCTTCGGGATATATATATATATTCTTTGGAACATGTGTGAAGTCTTGTGAGACACATACTTGATCCCTAGTATATGTATATGATTCTTAAGGAAATATATGTGGTCTTTATGGACATTATTATATGGCACTACGGTGTAATTCTACGCGGCACTCCGGTGCAATTCTACATGGCACTTCGGTGCAATTATACGAGCTGTGGTGACAACATAGTGCACAACCTCACAATACTCACATACCTTAGGTTCTCAATATGATACCATGGGCTAATGAACTTAATAATGTGAATTAGATAAGTATATGGGTAAGAAACATGGTTATGGTTACTGTAATGTTTACATACATATTATCATTGCAACTCATCTCATATTGGCAATTCTTTTATATTTTATTGTTATTATTATGTTGCCTCACTAAGTCGATGACTTAGCGTGTGAGTGTTTCACATGCAGGATCTGATAAAGTAGACGATCGAGGTTAAGCAACTGGACAACATTACTCCTGCAACTATCAGATCAGAAGCAACTTAAACAGTAGGTCATTTTGTTATGTAAATGGATGTTGGCATGTAAATAAAGGGTTAAGTTGTGTATGCTCTGAGTATTTTGATAAACTTGTATTAATATATATATATTATCATATTTTCTTAATATAAGTGCAAATGTTGTGATTTTGTAAGAAAGGTGTTTTAAAAAGGTAATGTGACACCTCGGACTAGTATCCGGGTCGGATAACGGGTTGGGTGTGTTACATTTAATGGTATCAGAGCCATGGTTTAACCGATTCTAGGTATAAACCAGAGTCTAAAGAGTCTTTAAATGGGATACATGCCAACAAATAGTGAGAACTTCTGATCTGGTATAGTATGAGTATGTTGTTTTGCTAATAGAACAATGTGTTTATTTTATTAGATGTCCGGACATAGTAGCTCCCGAAGTAAAGCGGGAGAAGATAGGCCTGCTGAAAGAAGTAATTCACCTGCCCTGGCCAGGTAAGGTGAAGAATATGCATCTCAAGGAGTGTATGTGCAAGATCAGGATACGTTCTTCAGAACGTTAGACGTTATTCTGACGCGTCTTCAACCTCCTGCTCCACCAACTTAAAGAATGAATGTAGCAAAAGAGTTGAGAGGTTTAGGAGCTCCCAAATTTAAGGGAGAAGCCGAGAAAGGTCCGGTTGCGGCGGATCTTTGGTTAAATGATTTGAAAATCATGTTGGATGATCTCCACTGCTCTGAAGTAGAGAAGTTAGATGGAGTTGTCTCGTTGCTGAGGGGTCAGGCGAGAATATGGTGGACGAACGTCACCATGAGGATGCCCAGTGACCAGTTGACTTGGCCTTTGTTCTTAGATGAATTTAAAAAAAAGTACATTGGAGATCAATTTATTCGACAGATGAAGCAGGAGTTTTTGAATTTGAAACAGATGAATCGTTCTGTATATGAGTATGAATGCGAGTTCAACAAGCAAAGTCGTTTCGCAACCGAGCTTGTGCCTACTGAAAATGATGCTTGTGAATGGTTTGTGGAGGGCTTACGCCCTAGATTGAAAGGGATGATGATAGTATTGAATTTATCCTCATTTCATGAGGTGATTAATCACGCAAAAGCTCTTAAAAGGGCTCATAATGAGAGATTTGGGGACTCAAGAGTTCAGACATCAAAGAGGACATGTGCTTCTTCCAGCTCAGTACCACCAAAAAGAGGAAGAGACTCAGGCTTTCGATCGTAAACTAGATCCGAATCAGTTGCATCCTCAGCTAGAGGAGCAAGTCAAGTGAGGCCTAGACAGACACAATCAGTGGGATCTGGTGCTGAGAGATCCACTCAGAGTCAAGTGAGACAGTGTCAGCATTGTGGGAAGGATCATTCTCGGTTATGTTGAATGGATTCTGGAGCTTGTTTTCGATGCGGAGATGTTGAACATTTTATTCGAGATTTCCCGTTATTGGTTGGTAAACCTGCTTCATCTGAGAGAATTGGCTCTGCCTCACAGAGAGGATGAGGAAGAGGTAGAGGAAGCAGCCAGTCAGAATCCTCTGCTCAACCTGAAGTTCGGTCAACCGCACGGGTGTACAATTTAAAGACAAGTGAAGACCGTGATGATCTGGATATTATAGCAGGTACTTTTCAGCTGTTTGATAAATTAGTATTGGCACTGATTGATCCGGGTTCTAATTATTCTTACATTACAAGTAAGTTAGTAAAGAAATTGAGGATTCCCTTAGAAGTTACGAGTAATGAGATTATAGTAACAAATCCTTTAGGCCATAGTGCTCGGGTGAACAAAGTCTGTAAGGGGTGCCCTATAAAGGTTCAAGGAATTGAATTCCCTGCTAATCTGATGGAATTACCCTTTGACGAGTTTGAAGTGATACTGGGAATGGATTGATTGTTCCGTTACTATGGAGATGTTAATTGCAGATCGAAAAAGGTAACCTTGAAAAGTCCAGGAGAAACAGAGATAAGTGTGAGTAGTGAAAAGTTTAATCCTTTAGCAAATGTAATGTCAGTAATGTCAGCTAAAAAGCTGTTACTACAAGGATGTCAAGGATTTCTTGCAAATGTGATAGATTTAAGAGCTAAAGAGAAATGGCTAGAGGAGATTCCAATATTTCAAGAATTCCCTGATGTTTTTCCTACTGAGTTGCCAGGATTACCTCCAGATAGAGAGGTAGAATTCCAAATTGAAGTAATGCCAGGAATCGCTCCAATTGCAATGGCACCTTATCGGATGACTTCGAAAGAATTGCAAGAGTTAAAGAATCAATTGCTAGAGTTGTTAGAAAAGGGATTTATTCGACCAAGTGTGTCACCTTGGGGATCTCCAGTGTTATTTGTTAAGAAGAATGATGGATCAATGCGTCTCTGCATTGATTATCGACAGCTTGATAAGGTGACCATCAAGAATAAGTATCCCCTTCCACGCATTGATGACTTGTTTGATCAGCTAAAAGGAGCTTCGGTATTTTTGAAGATCAATATACGTTCGGGTTATCACCAATTGAAGATTCAGGAGAAATATATTCCGAAGATGGCTTTCAGAACGAGATATGGTCATTATGAATTCATCGTAATGCCATTCGGAGTAACGAATGCACCTGCTACTTTTATGGATCTCATGAACAGGATTTTTCAGCCCTATTTGGACCAGTTTGTTGTTGTCTTTATTGATGATATACTGGTTTACTCGAAGTCCATGGAAGAGCATAGCGCACATTTGCAAATAGTTTTGCAAATTCTTAGAGATAAGAAGCTTTATGCCAAACTGTCTAAATGCGAATTCTGGCTAAGGAAAGTAATTTTCTTAGGGCATGTGATTTTTGTTGATGGGATTTGGGTGGACCCTCAAAAAATAAAAGCTATAATGGACTGGGAAGTTCCAAAGAATGTATCTAAAGTTCGGAGTTTCCTTGGACTTGCTGGTTATTACCGAAGATTCGTTAAGAATTTTTCGATGATAGTGCTGCCCTTAACGAAGTTAATGAGAAAGAACGTACCGTTTGTTTGGACTCCTGAATGTCAAGATAGCTTTGAAACTTTAAAGAAAATTTTGACAGAAGCTCCTATATTGGTTCAACCAGAATCTGGCAATAATTTTGTAGTATTCAGTGGCGCATCTCATAATGGTTTGGGTTATGTGCTTATGCAAGAAGGGAAGGTGGTAGCGTATGCATCGAGACAGTTGAAACCACATGAAAAGAATTACCCCACCCATGATTTATAAATGGTTTCCGTGGTATTCACTCTCAAGATTTGGCGTTATTATCTGTATGGAGGAAGATATTACTTGTATATAGACCATAAAAGTCTGAAGTACCTGATGACTCAAAAAGAGTTGAATTTGAGGCAACGTAGATGGGTAGAGTTCTTAAAAGATTATGATGTGATAATTGACTATTATCCCGGAAAGGCTAACGTGGTAGCAGATGCTTTGAGTAGAAAGACGTTTGCAGCCTTACGAGCTATGGATGCAAGATTATCTTTAACTAGAGACGGTGGTTTATGTGCAGATTTAAAACTTAAACCAGCATGGTTGAAACGAATAGGAGAATTGCAAAGTAAAGATAGAACATGTTTGAAAAGAATTGAGCAAGTGAAGAGCAAAGAGATTAAAGACTTTGAGGTTAAGTCAGATGGAAATTTGTATTACAAAGGAAGATTTATGATACTCGACAATGAGGATTTGAAGAAAGAAATATTAACATAGGCTCATTGCAGTCCATTAATGATGTACCCGGGTGGAACCAAGATGTATATGGATTTGAAGGATCGATTTTGGTGGTCAGGGATGAAATGAAACATCACTGAATATGTGTCTAAGTGTTTGATATGTCAACAAGTCAAAGCTGAGCATCAAGTTCCGTAGGATTATTGCAACCGCTTTACATTCCTCAATGGAAATGGGAAAATGTTACGATGGATTTTGTTTCGGGGTTACCCTTGACTCCGAACAAAAGAGAATCAATATGGGTAATTGTTGATTGATTGACTAAGTCAGCGCATTTCCTTTCGGTTAGAATATATTTCTCTATGGAAAAGTACGCGGAGCTGTATATTAGAGAAATTATTAGATTGCATGGAGTGCATGTTTCCATAGTCTCTGATCGAGACCCTCGATTCACTTTGAGATTCTGGAAATCTTTGCATGGAGCGTTGGAACTCGTTTAAACTTTAGTACGTCTTTTCATCCTCAGACTAATAGGCAATCAGAGAGAACTATTCAGATCTTGGAAGATATGTTGAGAGCATGCGTAATAGAATTCAAAGGATCATGGGAAAAGTATTTACCACTGGCAGAATTCACTTACAACAATAGTTATCAGTCCAGTATAAAGATGGCACCATATGAGGCATTATATAGGAGGAAATGTCATACTCCATTAAATTGATATGAACTCAAAGATCAAAGTGTTCTTGGTCCGGATTTAATTCAAGATGTAGAAAAGAAAGTTCAAGAAATTCAACATAACCTCAAAGTGGCCTCTGATCGGCAAAAGTCCTATTCTGATCTTAAAAGAAAAGAGATTAAGTTCGAGGTTGGAGATAAAGTTTTCCTTAAAGTATCTCCCTGGAAGAAAGTATTATGTTTTGGTCGGAAATGAAAGTTAAGTCCTAGATTCATTAGGTCATATGAAGTTGTTAAGAGGATAGGACCCGTGGCATATCAGTTATCCTTGCCACCGGAAATGGAGAAGATCCATAACGTCTTCCATGTGTCCATGTTACGAAGATATAGGTCCGATCCCTCTCACATCGTTGCACCAGAACAAGTAGAAGTCCAATCGGATCTGACATATGAAGAAAAACCAGTGAGAATATTGGCTTATGAAGTCAAACAGTTAAGGAGTAAAATAGTTCCGTTGGTCAAGGTTCTTTGGAGAAATCACAAGGTAGAAGAAGCCACGTGGGAACGTGAAGAAGATATGCGACTTCAGTATCCCCATCTGTTCGTACAATGAAAATTCGAGGACGAATTTTCTTAAGGGAGGTAGATTTGTAACATCCTCCCTACCGGGTTAGTGATTAAATTGTGAAATTTTAAAATTTAGTGATCAAAGTTGATAAATTGAAAGTTGAAGGAATTGATTGAAATATTTGGTGTAGGATCAATTAGCAAAGCATGGGGAACTAAAGGGGTAAATGAGTCTTTTGACAAGGAAAATAATTAAATGTTTCTTAAGGATATTTAATAAACCACGTGGAAAGCTAATGAGAGAAACAATGTTCTGGATATTTCTTTCTTCTTCATTCTTCTTCTCTCTGCCGTGAAGACAAAGCTAAATGTAAGTTTTCTTATTGATCAAATTCTTGATGAATTTAAGATTTCTTATTGATCCTTAGATAATAACTAAGCTTAAGGAAAGCTTAGATTATCTTAAAACCATAAGATGAGGAGTATATGAAGAATCAAAGAAAGGAAGTATAAAAGTGAAATCTTGGATTAGAGCTCATAATAAGAATTATAAGTGAGATTTGGCTTGTCATAAAACTAACTAAGAAGTATGAAGTGTTAGAATTCAAATTAGAACATGTTGGAATTTGGGTTAGATTCTTAAACTCTACATAGAGAATTGGATTTCTAGTTTTAAAAGTATGGAATGGATAATAATTAGTTTAAGTAAGAGTATGCAAGTTAAGGATATAAAAAGAGGGGAAATATAAAGTGTTAAGTAGACTAAGAAGAGATTTTCGTGCTAAAATGACAATTCTGGGTAATGTGCACCGATGCATCAAGGATAAATCCCAGAAATTGTTCAAGGTGTACCGATGCACTCTTTTAAAATACAAACATCGAATGTCATCGATGCATCGATGCATAAGGAGTGCATCGATGCACCCCATTAAATACAAACATCGAATAGGATTTATGCATCGATACATGGTGTAGTACATCGATGAATACCTCCATTAAAAGATAAAAATGGCTTTTGTTTTATCCTAAGAAATGATAGTTTAGAATATACTAATTAGTATACATATAAGTATCAATGAATTACTATATAGATATCGAGCCTAAACGAGTTCTGGAACAATCGACAAGTAAGAATGTTCGAGGGAAATACAAAGAAATCTAGGTGAGTGCATATGCATAGCATGAATATGTATTATATTCAGTTCTAGACTTGTAATAAGTCTAGATTCAATATTTTTGATACATGATCGCATTTCATATTATGATACATGACATGAATTCATATCATATGCATTATGTGACATGAATATGTAAGAAAAAGTTATATGAGTTATGTGATAAAGGTATGGGAATGATATGTCTATGTGATAAAGGTATGAAAATAATATGTCTACGTGATACAAATTATGTGAATTGTGAAAGCCCATGTTATGTAGATGAGAACTATAGGTATAGTTGGCATGCCAAGGGTAGAGGGTCTACACGGTCCTTCAGGATATATATATATTCTTTGGAACATGTGTGAAGTCTTGTGAGACACATACTTGATCCCTAGTTTATGTATATGATTCTTAAGGAATGATATGTGGTCCTTATAGACATTATTATATGGCACTACGGTGAAATTCTACGCGGCACTCCGGTGCAATTCTACGCGGCACTCCGGTGCAATTCTACATGGTACTTCGGTGCAATTATACGAACTGTGGTGACAGCATAGTACACAACCTCACAATACTCACATACCTTAGGTTCTCAATATGGTACCATGGGATAATGAACTTAATAATGTGAACTTATGAATGTGAATTAGATAAGTATATGGGTAAGAAACATGGTTATGGTTACTGCAATGTTTACATACATATTATCATTGCAACTCATCTCATTTTGGCAATTCCTTTATATTTTATTATTATTATTATATTGCATCACTATGTCGATGACTTAGCGTGTGAGTGTTTCACACGTAGGATCCGATAAAGTAGACGATCGAGGTTAAGCAGGTGGACAGCATTACTCCTGCAACTATCAGATCAGAAGCAACTTAAACAATATGTCATTTTGTTATGTAAATGGATGTTGGCATGTAACTAAAGGGTTAATTTGTTTATGCTCTGAGTATTTTGATAAACTTGCATTAATATATGTATATTATCATATTTTCTTAATATAAGTGCAAATGTTCTGATTTTGTAAGAAATGTGTTTTAAAAAGGTAATGTGACACCTCGAACTAGTATCCGGGTCGGATAACGGGTTGGGTGTGTTACAATCACCCTCCAAAGTGGAATCGTTACTGCACCTAAAGACCTAGAGGAGAATGCCGTAAATCCAAAAAAAAGGGAATGAAATGCGACATTATGATATTCAAGGTACATCTTCATCCCCTATTCCTCCTTCTTATTGTCCCAAAGAAATCGACCCTACTCCTTGATACATGCATCACAAGGCTCACATCAAAGGAAGAAGTAATAACTCTTCCAAATGATCCACTCGTCCAAGCCTTGGAAAAGAAGACCAGAACAACAACAGACTTGAAACGCCTTTTTGAATGGGATCCTGATCTTATTTGGTTTATTATTATTTTGTTAGGAATTAGAGTTAAGACTTGTTTAGTTTGTTATTATTTTATTCATTAGTTATTTAGGACCTTTAGAACTCATCCCCTCTATAAATGAGGCTTCAT